TTAAAGGATAGGTATAACAAAATACCAAAATTTTATTAAGGAACGGCCTTCTAAACACTGAACAAATTCTGGGACTTATCAAATTTGTGAGTGTATTTATTTCACTCATTACTTGATACTGATCTGTACAGTTTTATAGGAGAACTACATTAATAAATACGTTTAGAAAAATATAACATYAATTATCTACTAAAGCTGTATTAAAATAAAAAAAATAATGTTTAATTATGAATGTCATCATTCATTATAAATGTTTAAATAAAATAACGTGTGAGAATATAAAATAATACAAAATATTCAAGCAATAAAACTAAAACAAAAATGTAAACTGACTTAAATTAAACACTTTCATAAAAAAATTATGAAAGCAAAAAAAACTTAACAGCTTAGGTCATAAATTAAATGAATAATTTCTAAATTAACAAACGGAATTATTTTTGAAAATAATGAAATTCATTGAAACTGAATTTCTGCAGTGTTTATTTAGTTTTATTTGTTCCTAGATAATAATTGAAACATACTAATAATAATTAATATCAAATTTAACAACAAGGTTACTAACTCTTTAATAACGTTATAACTTATTGGTAATGAGTTAAAAAAAACCTTGTTATTCCACCTCTCACAACTGAGTTACAAATGACTTCATTCATAACAAAATCTTGAATGTATCTAGCAATCTACTACTTTAATTAGGTATAATGTGTTTTTTCCGGATTTTTTGTGACATGTGTGATTACATTAGAGTATTTTCGCGTTTTCTCTCACTACTAATTCTCTAATCTATTTTTTACAAACAAGGTTTCTACATAATTTGTATTGCAGAAAAAAAAAGTTTTTGTGTAGCTACAAGTAGACTAGAATTTCATTATCATTATCATCCATACCAGTTGTTGTACTTGGAAATAGATCATAATCAATCAATAAACTTTTTCTTTATTTATTTTTATTTTGTTTTCTAAAAAATAACAATAATAACAGTTTTTGAGAAGTGAGGTAGCTTATAAAAACACAATATCCTAAGAAACACGTAAAGTGTTATACCTACTGTTAAAAACCTCTAATGCTTTCAAATAGAGACTATTATAGAC